CTACTACTTACTTCCTAGAAATAAGAAAGCAACAAGTGTGATTCCTTAACATGTACATGTATACATCTCTGCAACTAATATGCATAACTTACATTCTACCAGTTATTTTCTACTTCACTGTACAGCATTAAAACTATACTTCTCAGTGACTGCATAAAACACTGCAACTTCCAGTGCTTCAAATGATTTTAGCAGCCATAGCTTACTGGAAAGAGCAAGAAAAGGTGTTGGAAGCCACTCAGATCATTAACTCGTTTCTTGAGTTCTCTGAGGGTACAATACCAAAAGGTTGGGGAATCAGATGAAGTACAGTTGGTCCTTCTCATCTGTGAGTTCTGTATCTGCTGACTCAACCAACTTCAGATAGAAAATATTCAGGGGATGATGAATAGATGATTGAATCTAAACTGAATATGTAAGACTATTTTCTTGTCATTATTCCCTAAACAATACAGTGTAACAACTGTTTACATGGCATTTGCATCATATGAGGTATGATAAATAACCTAGAGATGACTTAAAGCATCAGGAGGATGCAAACACCACTCCATAAAGGATGGCTGTATTTGAAAACTATATAATACTGTATATTATCTCAAACATGTGTAGATCAAAGGCAGAATAAGATGAGCCTAGGGAGCAGAGAGAGTCTTTAAAATGGATTTAGAAGATTTTCATATTTTAGGTTTGTGGGTATTATGAAAGTATGAGAAAATCAAATTATTATTTATCAATGTGATTATGAGGGAAAAATGTGATTTACTCCCACAGCACTAAATCTGGGTGAAATACTTGCTGTGGGGAGTTAGGAAAATCTATTTATGCTGAAAGAACCAGTGGCAAAACACTTGCATCTGGTAGACTGCTTTTTACTTTAAGTGAGTTTCCTTTAATGTTTTAATGTCTTAGAGACATTGTCTCTACTTTATAGATTTCTTGGAAAAGAAATGAATACATCGTTATAAAACCATGAGTAGTATTAGTTTCCTATTGCTGCTGTAAATAATTACCACAAAGTTAACAGCTTAAAACAATACAGATTTATTATCTTACAGCTCTGGAGGTCAGAAGTACAAAATGGGTCTCAATGGGCTAAAATCAAGGTGGAAGGAAGGCTGTGTTCCTTCTGTAGGCTGGAAGGAAAATAATTCGTTTCCTGGTCTTTTCCAGCTTCAAAGGCCGCCCACATCCCTGGGCTAATGGCCCCTTCCTGCATCTTCAAAGCCAGCAGTGGTGGGCTAAATCATTTTCCTGTTGCCATCTCTTCTTTCTCTATCTCCCTCTTCCAATTTTAAGGGCCCCTGTGATTATATTGGGCACCTGGATATTGCAGGATATGCTTTCTATTTTAAGGTCAGTTGATTAGCAACCCTAATTCCACCTGTGACCTTAATCCCCTTACCCATGTGAGGAAACATGTTCCTAGATTCCAAGGATAAAACACGGACGTCTTGAGGTGGAGCATTATTCTGCCCACCACATGAACTATAACCTATTTTTAAATCAATAAATATCAAACACACAATAGGCCAGCTATTTCCCCAAATCTTTGCCCTCCCTAGCCCTTTGAGACTTGGCTTTGGAATGTGGAGGGGGTGGGCGGTAAGAAAATACCTTTTTCATTTAGTGCTCAGTGGTGGTGTGCTGGTCAACATTTAACAATCAGGTCTAGAAGGGAGGAGGATGAGGAGGAGGGAAAATTTATCTGTAGCACTTACTGATTTCCACAGCACAAATATTTTCCACCACGGTCAGTTTCAAGCTGCCAACACGAAGTCAAGTAGCTTAAAAAAAAATCCTGAAAATTTGACAATCTATTCTCACAGTATAAGCCAGTACAAGGAAGCCGCAGCACAGCACTAGACTTTTGTATACCATGACAGACTATAGCTTAGGGAATGCAAGTTACATTCCCGAACTGAATACAATTGAAGTATACCAAATGCTCTCTCCAAATTTCCCCTTTTACCCGTAGGATTAACTCTTCCTGGACCTCATCGACATGACTGGATACTAAAGAGCTGGTCGATTTTCACATCTTTCTGTCTATTAAAGATCAAAATACACCCACAAATGCTGGCAAGGAATCCAGTCTACTCTTCTCTCACTACATGCTCCACACAGAGATGATGAACAATCAGAATGAGACCCAATGTCCCCTGGTGACTTCTTCTGGGAAAGGAGAAAATGAAGGGCAGAAGGGGAGCAGTGGCCAGTCGGGGCAAGACCAGAGACAAAGCTAGAGGCTCTTGGGCAGCAATAGGCTGCTTGGATTCTATTTGACTCAGAGTTTCTGGGCAGCAGCCATTTGCCTAGGGAGGAGGGCAGTGTGTTTGCAGGCTGACGTCCATGTGTGTGTTTGCTGTGCATTTTAAAAATTAAGTGCTCCATAAGCACAGCCATCATCACTTCCCTTGGCCATTGCCACACTGGCAGTGTGAAATATGTCATTTCTAGATGGCTAATGTTCATTTTTCTTATCCGACACAAGCTACTAACTAGGCTCACATTTAACATGAAAAGCTACAGATTTATCTACGATGGGAAATGCTAGGATCATGGTGGCAGTGCAGGCCAATCAGCCAGAGAAATCGCGTCTGTGGAAGGACAAGGATGGGTCACTCCTTCTTTTGCAAGGTCGTTTAAATTAATGCTCCTCAAGCTTTTATGTGAACAGGAATTATCTGGGAGCTTGTTAAAATGCAGATTCTGATTCAGTAGGTCTGACGTGGAGCTCGAGATTCTGCTCTTTTAACAAACTCACAGATGATACCAATGTTGCTTGTTCAAGGGGTGTATTTTCAATGGGAAGGGTCTGCAGATCATCTCTGTCTCCCCATCTCTCACTTTCTGGCAAATTTATGGCAATAGAATTACAGTTATCACATTAGGAAAGAGAAAAACACTACTGTTAGACAATGTTAAAACGGTTTCGGCCAGACACAGTGACTCATTCCTGTAATACTGACACTTTGGGAGGCCGAGGCAGGTGGATCCCTTGAGCCCAGGAGTTCGAGACCAGCCTGGGCAACATGGTAAAACCCCATCTCTACAAAAAATAAAAAAAGCTATGGTGGTGTTCACCTATAGTCCCAGCTACTCAGGAGGCTGAGGTGGGAGGATTACCTGAATCCAGAAAATTGAAGCTGCTGTGATTACACCACTGCACTCCAGCCTGGGCAACAGAGTGAGACCCAGTCTCAAAAAAAAAAAAAAAAAAAAAAAAAGGAAAGAAAACAGTTTCAACCACAAACATTTATGAATAATATACATTATTGATCCATGAAGAAATTAGCTGTAAATGACCCACAAGCCAGCCAATCATGGGTATTAAATGACAATAAATGACCTTTAGGACAACAGGTTGCAATACAATGATGATTAAAGGTCTGCAAGCCTCTTAACTCTGCTCCTGGTGATGACTTAATGATTTTCTTTGTTCTACCTGAAATACAGACTATGCACTGTAAAGGGAGTGCCTCCTCTAAAATTGCAAGACCTAAGCATGAATCTTCCTTTGAAGGAAAAATGGAAGAAAAAACACTGGATGAGAAAAGGAGAGTGGGGAATAGAAACATAGAGAGAAATACAGGTAAATTTTTTAAGTTGCTGTAATAAAAATTTTCTACAATGAAACCATAATTGTTGATCAGTCAGAAATGGATTGCCAAGTCAAACTTTATAAAGTTCCTATGCTCTTTTTATACTTCCAGCATTTTATTTCGGTTCCTCGTTTGCAAATCCAGTCTTATCTCCATCCACAAAGCCCACATCTCTACAGCAACAGGGTGTCCTTGAGCTTGGGAGAAGAAAGGTTGGGTGCTTCAGAAAAAGTTGGGGGCCTACACAAGGTCACACTGCACAACAGACACCTTCCAAGGAGGATTAGTCTGCTCCCAGCCAGGATGCGTTTCCTTGACTTAAGGCTGCAGCAAGTGTCATGCATGGTGGTCAGTTTCATGAGCCAGCCTTGTTCCCAAACCTCCAAGATTTAAATCTATTACAGGTTAGGAATTTGTGGAAAATGAGAGTAGTAGGAAGAAGGAAGGAGGTGTGTGGCCAGAACACCGCTACCTTTTTTTTTTTTCTTTTTCTCTAGCAGATAAACATTTTTAAGAGACTTTTTCCCCCAAGCCCCAGAAAGAGTATCAAAACTAACACATCACTTTGAGGTTTAGTATAGATCATGTCACTAATAAGGAAATGCAAATATAGGCTTTTTCTTTTATCAATGAGAGGCATGCTTACCTACTTCACACCCAGTCTGGAAAATTCAATGTTTGGATGTAAGTACAGCAGCATATACCACGGGCCGTCATCATTACTAGCTGCTTTGCCTTCTGGATAAATATATGGTTACTACTTTCATCACTCCCCTAAGGAATGAGACAGTGTGGTGACAAAGACGCGCAGCTCTGAGGCCAGTCTGCCTGGATGTGAATCTCAGTTCTTCTTACTGGTTGATATGATTTGGCTGTGTCCCCACCCAAATCTCACCTGGAATTGTAATAATTCCCACGTGTTGAGGGTGGGGCCAGGTGGAGATAATTGAAGCATGGGGTGGTTTCCCTCATAATGTTATTGTGGTAGTGAAAAAGTCTAACAAGGTCCGATAGGTTTATAAAGGGGATTTCCCCTCACAAGCTCTCTTGCTGTCTTGCTGGCTGCCATGTAAGACAGGACTTTGCTCCTCATTCACCTTTAGCCATGATTGTGAGGACTCCCCAGCCATGTGGAACTCTGAGTTAGCTAAGCCTCTTTCTTTTATAAATTACCCAGTCTTTATTAGCAGTGTGAGAACAGACTAATACACAGGTTGAGGAGCCCCAACCAGTAGGCAAATTACCCAGCCCCAGTTGCAAAATTGGGTAATAAGGGGAACAGGTTCTTCACAGGGTTACTGTGAGGGTTAACTGAGTTGATATACGGACAGTGTCTAGAAGACAACCTGGCATATTCTAAGCCCTCAGCAAACGTGAGCTAATGCACCTCCTCCTTACCTTCTCTCTCTGAATTGCCTTCATTTTTTGGAGTTCAGCTTCTTCAGCTTCCTTCTTGATTCTTACAGATTCTTCTCTTTTTAGCTAAATTATATTGAAATTACAGAGAGCGAAAACAGTTACCATTTTTCAGTCTGAACTGTGGAACACAAAATTATGATGAAAGGCAAATTGCAGTATTGTTTGTGCTATACCTCACCATGATTATAGGTTGTTACTTCAAGCTACTTGGATCACAGAGACTGGCCGGGCTACGTCTTCTGTCTGTGAAATTTCTGTCTTTGTGTTTCTTCCTTAGTCTCTCTCTTTCTCAATGTTTCTGTCTCTATATGTGTGTGTGTGTGTGGTATGTGTGTGTATGTGTGTATGTGTGTGTGTGTGTGTGTGTGTATGTGTGTGTGTATATTGGGGAGGGAAAAGGGAAAATAATTTTTCCTGATTACAAAACTCAGTGTTCATTGTAAAAATCACTGAGTATCTTAAATCTTTTCTGTACTGCTTCCACAATTGGCCTGTGGTAAATAAATTCACATTCTTAGAACCAAAATATTCCAGACATAATAGACTTTAAACTATAGTTAAAATATAGTCAAACTAGAAAAAGAAGTCCTTTAATTGAGGGTCATGCTGAGTGATAAAGGGCTTAGATAAGAATTGAAGGTATCCATCTCTTAACTTCTTACTTCCTGATATCTTTGATTTTGAAAGCTGCCTTTTGCAATTGGTTGGAAGGTTTTATGCTTTTGGTAAAGTTACTGTGTTATTTCATGGTTACTTGAAAGAGCTGGTACTCATATTCCTTACCAAAATTGAACCAAAGAAGATGAATTCTGACCTTTTGCTGGTACTTAGATTGCATCAGCTGGAGTTGCTGTTTCTGTCTGACTTCAGTTTCTGACTGGCTTCCACCTTAGGAAAAAAAAATTCACATAGGTGAAACATAAATATTAAGCTGAAATGTCAGCCATCAAGGACTAATTAATACATAATAAAGTTATAACATGAGTTTTGTTAATATTCTCATGCTCTTGGAAATAAGAACATAACCTGTTTTTCTAATAAGACCTTAAATAAGGGGAATACTTAGAAAAGAGAGCTGGACAGAAAGAGGAGGCCATATTTTTAAAACAAAAGAACACCTCTAAGGTTTTTCAATCATGTAGGTATTCAGCTTTTTCACTTGGATTGAAATCACACCTAAAGGTCTGCACTAAACAGAAGAAACAGTTCCTGTCTAGAAAACTATAGAATATTCCTCCTTCTTGATTATGACCATGACTGAACCTAATAAAGATGGTGACCAAAGGTGCTTCTATTGCTTTTTGTCTTCTAACTCTATTGCCTTGCATTCAGGCAACAAGGCTCTGGAAGCTCTCAGAGGTCTTGCCACTAGACAAGTATTTAATCTTTACAACTCAGTTTCTAAAAATACAATGGGAAAATGAGAATAGTCTAGTTAGTAACTGATCAATCCAATCTATTTATTGTTCTTTCTTCATATAGTCAAACTAAAAATATGGATGTTAAATTATTTACTTGCTCTCTTTTATATATACATATTTTTAAAATCAGATATTAAACTGATAAGAACAGATACTAGATCTTAGCCAAAAGGCCGAGAAGCAATATTGCTCTCTCTTAAACCTAAAAGAATTTGGGGCCAGAAATCCTGGCAGCTTGACAATCATCTAAGAATTGTCCTTTAGGGAATTCTCAGTGTTTATGCAAGCTTGGTGTGCATATTATAGAGGTTCCTTTGAAATAATTCTCTGGTGTTTTGGTCACTAAAAGTGTCAGCTTTCTGAAAGATTCACTCTCACAGAAGATGCATTAAAACAATTTGTGTTCACTATAGATCTTATAATTGAACTGAGAAAGATACCATAGGGACTTTTCTTCTGAGATTCAAAAGATATATAAGGGCTGTTTGATGTGGGCCCTTCGATTGCTATTGTGGGGGGTGGGGAATATTTCTTTCAAAACAGTGAGGAATGTTGACGCTTTTCATAATGTTACAGCACCTTTTAGCATCTCCTGCAACAATTCCAATATTTTAAGGGGTAGAGAAATAGAGGAGTTGAAAATTAGAAGAAATGTAGAGAGCCAGATGTCTAAACATTTAAAAATTTTGTTCAAAACTCATCTCAAAGTTTAATACAATTTAGAATTTTCTTTTCTACCCCCAAGCCCCTCCCACACACACACGCCTTACTATCCCTAGATAATGCATGTAACAGGAATTTGAAATAAGAATCCTGGTCACTCTACTGTTTGAGAAAAACCAAAAGCTTTAATTTTTTACATCATCCAAAAAGCCTGGGAAAAACCAGTCTCATATAGCCAATCTCAGGACCAGGTTAGAAGAGATTACAGCTGTTTTCTCATTGTACCCTTCAAGTCTGGTTCATTTGCACCAAGGAAACACTTGAGATAAGCCCTTTTAATGAAATACAGTGGAATGATGATAATATTACTATTACTTCCTCTCATTAAATAATTTCCAAATTAGATTATTTTTACCTATGTTCTTGGGGGTGGGGAGGGAACTCTAAAACAATCACAACAGTAAGTGGCCCCTAACACAAGACAGGCTTCTATTAACTAAATCTGTGGACACTGTGTGTCCAACCCTTTAAATTTTCAGCTGCTGCTAGAAGAAAAAAGGTAAAGAAAAGATGTGAATGATTCCCATTAGGTGGCATCCCCGCTGAATGATTCAAACACCAGCAAAGGCAGCCCAGGCAATTCATCACACTGGCAGCACCTGCTCCAGAGGCCCAGAGGTCTCTATCTGTAGAATAAAAACACAGGTGATGTTTCTCTTATACCCACCACCAGGTCTCCAGCTCACTCTCATCTTGCTCTTGGAACTGACTCTCCACACCTTTTCTTCACATTAACATTTAACTGCCATGATTAATATGCTTGTGCTAGCATTTACTCCCGTCCTGACTAGTGCTATGCCAGGGCATATGCAGCACCCCAGGTAAGCTTTCTTCAGAGTCAGTCATCTAAGAGGCTCTAAATTATTTGGCAATTAAGCCATCACTTTGTTCCCATAGAACGTGGCATTACAGGTTTGCTACTTACAGAAAATCAGAAATATATGTATCTTCATTAAATGCATTCCACCCAAGCAGCACAATGACCAAACAATCTACAATGGACACTCACAAACAGACATCTGCAAGCTGTTAACAGGATCATCCATAGGTGACCCCGCCCTCCCACATTCAGGCAGCGTGCTTGCTTACCTAGCCGCCTGGGCACCAGGTGAACTGGTTTAGCTCTGTTCTGCTCCTTCCATTTCTCTAGGTTGGCCAGCTCCTGCTCCGCAACTAAGCAGGTGAGAAACATCAAATTGTCAATTACTAGACTTCTGAAAGAAAAACAGTCCCTTCGAACCATAAGAAACAACTATTAGAAGGCAATTAAGCAACAATTAGAAGGCAATCCATGTTCACTACATGGGAGCCTGAGTGAACAAGGCTTCCAGGACAGGAACACAATATTCAGCCCTGATGCCTGTGGGTCACCCTCGGCCTGTGGCACATTCTTACCAAGAGTCCGCACAGAGGGTTCAAATTTGAAAAACCACCTGGGCTCCTACTAAAACAAAAAATGTATAGATTTTCCTACCATTCTGGCATTCTTAAAACTCTATATCAAGTTAATTTTTAAAGTTTCCTATAGACAATGCGTGCACAACTAGAATATTTTCATGTCAAGAATTTTCCAGGCCGGGCGCGGTGGCTCACGCCTGTAATCCCAGCACTTTGGGAGGCCGAGGCGGGTGGATCACGAGGCCAAGAGATCGAGACCATCCTGGTCAACATGGTGAAACCCCGTCTCTACTAAAAATACAAAAAATTAGCTGGGCATGGTGGCGCGTGCCTGTAGTGCCGGCTACTCGGGAGGCTGAGGCAGGAGAATTGCCTGAACCCAGGAGGCGGAGGTTGC